GAGAATGCACATTCGGAAAAGAGAACTCAAACATAACACATCCACCGGCCTTCATTACTGTCGTTCCCTTTTACTATAGTTCGATAAACAACAAAATCCTATTCCGCGAATTGACAACTTCCTTTCAATATCTTTTTTACCTTACTCGGCCTTAATCTAAAAGGCTAAAAGACCAGTAATCCGACTACTATAATACCATGGCCAAAGGCTGCAATCTTGTCCCTCTATGCATTACAATCGGCAGAGTCACAGACAAGGATGCATTCTCGTCTCTCTGTGACTCCCGATATCTGAAAATATCAATCGCTCTATACTTTGTTAGGAAGTTAAATGATTCTCTTGATCACTTACAACACAAAAATTTACCTTAAACTCGCATATATCTCTATAGATCACATCCGAATAAAGACTCCTCCTGAAATCCTACATCCAAAAAGTTTAGTGATAAGTGCATACACAATCATCCCATGATTCATGCATCATTAAATTACACAATTAAACATCATGAACAAACAATAAAAAAAAATTTAACCAAATTCCTAAATTTTTAGCATCAACCTCAACCGCTATAAAGCATAACAAAGAAACAAATATCGTGTGTTTAACTGATAACCACACGACAAACATCACCAGGACTGCCCTTTGCTTTCTGAATGGTTATGGCTTGGATTCGAACTTAAGGTCTAGACCCAACCTAGATTCCTCGACTATTCCACGAACTATTGAAGCTTCCTTTACTTAAAACTGACAGAGTTTAGGTTTGAAATTCAACCATTCCAACTGTCAAACCAGAAAAGAAGGTTGGATTCGAGATCAGAAGATGAAACTAAGTCTAATAGATAAGTTTGGATCGAAATTCCTTACCCAAAAAAGTTTCGACACTACTTGGTGGTTCACGACAACGAATTGTGGACTAGATCACGATCACGTTTTCATTTTACTAGAGGTTTGTTAAAGTTTCTATGAAGATTATGGGAACTACTTACTTCTATATATTTATAAGCTTTAGAAAGCAAGTAGGAAGGGAGCTGGGTCAATGGGGTGTGTGTCGTATGGTAAGGCTGGGATGGATCCTTGGGATCTATGGTAAACGTATCTAGCTCTGAATCCGTGGCTTTCGGATATCCGACTAAAAATTAGGATATCCGAATCTAAAAATAATATTAAAATAATTAAAATACATAAAAACTACATAAAAATAATTTTTTAAAAATTAGTAGTTAAAATTTTAAATG